AAGTCTTAAAATACATGAGTTAACAGCCTCAAACCCCTTATCATGGACAACTTTGAAAACAGCTTTTGAAAACATATCATATTCTGAAATGGGTTCCCTGTGTTAAAAATAGTAGTAATACTGGTAAAAAGACACTAAAGTCTTAAAATACATGAGTTAACAGCCTCAAACCCCTTATCATGGACAACTTTGAAAACAGCTTTTGAAAACATATCATATTCTGAAATGGGTTCCCTGTGTTAAAAATAGTAGTAATACTGGTAAAAAGACACTAAATCGCAAAGGGAAATTATAACGAGGTAGACTCTTTTACCAAAGTATTCTTTTTGTGTCTTTCCATAAAAGCAATGAGTTTTTTTATACGATTTTAGAGACGTGAGAACCCATTTATTCAATCCATTGCGGTTAACACTAAACTTAATCTCTCAAGCTTACAAAATTTCAATATTTGAACAAACAAGCGCCATGCTCTAATAAAAACGAAAATTTAAGTGTCTGTCTAATAGTACTTCGGGTTATCTTTACATCTTATTGTTTTGATAATATTGTTAAGCTTTCTTTATGAATAAGTTAATATTCGGTACTGTCTAACTGCTTCTTGCAGCTGCGCGGTTTAATGACTTTCACTCAAAATATAACTTTTTTAAAAAGAAAAAACATCAATGAATCACGTACCTTATTGCTGATTATTTGTACAAGTTGTTTCGCTGCATAAACTCGGTAAATAGAGACAAGGAAGGAATTGTAAGCCGTAGTAAATTAAAACGATGCCATCTCCATGCTTTCTGAAGAGTTCTTTGTGTGAAGATGCATCATGGGTAATAGCGCGCTTAGGATGCTGGGTAAGAACTGATGTCAACGCGGGAAATGGAGAAAAAAATGAAAACAAATGACTTGTACCTTACATAGAGCGGTACACTGACATTCCTATTTGTTTTAAAATAAGGAAAATTTCTGTTAAAAAGAAATATGTGTAGTACTCAAAGCCAGGAGACGGTTACAAAATATCACTCAATATTATTACTCTGATTCTTGGTTTACGATTGAATTCACGATTTGTGATAGCAGAGAATACCCGGCACGGCATTTAAACCGAAGAAACAAACAATAGCAAATTGTAATGAAAGATTTAAAAAAAACGTATCGATCGCAAAATCGTTTGCGCATTACATACGAAGACTTGCATTATTATTGCTATTTTTGCAATTGTGTGCAATCCGAAATATGATAAGAGTCCCGTACTATACTGAAAAACTTTCAGCCCCCAATTGGATACAACACACGCGTGACACACGGTAGCCTGCGTAGCGGCTGTAAGGGAGGGTAAAAGAGGAAAACAAAAAGAGAAGTGGTTAGGTTTTTTTCCCCACTCCGAGCCCTCTCACCTTCAGTTCCGTTTCTCCGTTTTAATACCCCTCACCCTCTCCCCTAGCTAGAGCCGCTACTCAGGCTAGACTCTGTATGATACAGGGATCCAATAAGCGACAAACGCGATACAAAAACAACGTTTGGAGTTAGAAATACTTTCGAATCCTAACAAAAACAACAGTGACTTAAACTACTACAAACAAAAAAGAGGAAAAGGAAAAGCTACCATGTATTCTTGGTCTTTACATGATGTCACTAGAGGCCTTGATATATATTCACTACTGCTTTTCACTACCGACACAAAAACCTAATTGCGTTGCGTTTCGATTTCACTAGTAAAATCAAGGACAAATACAATAATAAGTGCAAAAAAGAAACCAAAAAATGTTGATATCTTGCGCTAGGCATCTTGCATTGCTTTTTTACTTCCTTCTGCGCTTTCGTCTACGGTAAACAAAATATTGCTTTTGTGCTGCCATTATCATTATGAAAGCCAACAAGGCAATAATGTATTTATATTCATTTAGAGTCACGTCCCTTTGCAAAAACAAAACGACGTTTAAAAACAGATGAACTATTCCGATTTTTGATAAACAGACACCATGTACCATACGTCACTAYGTCTACTGCAAAAATTCCCGACGACAGTCGACTTAATTCGCCATACGAATCGATGTGTTTGAGATTGTAGTCTGGTTCTTTGCTTCGAGGGTTTTTTTCCAGATGTCTTCCTGTCTCAGACAAAAGCTAACTGAAAGGAAGTACCTACGTGCTCGTATTTCTTAAATTTCGGAACAGTTTCTCTTCTCTAAACATATTAAATAAAATAGACCTCTGAAGCTTTCAAGTCACTAACTTGATATATAATGCATTGTGGGATCTGTTTCTGGAGAAAGCAAAAGAAATCCGAAAACATATCCCATAATGCATTGCGTATATGATATATGACAGTTTAAAGCTGTCTATTCTTCCATTTTTCTATGATATGTCGATGATTTTACAATTACGTGTCCACTTGTGGCAAGTCTAGATCTAGACTGCTGTGCGCTAAACACATTTAATGTAGAAGCGAATCTGGTACATGATAGTAGCCATTGGCTAGGAAGACTTGATGACGACTTCCAGTAATATATGCAATCTTTAATTCATCTCCTGTGTGAAAACAGCCACTGTGACATCTATGTCAATATGTACACTTCCATACACAATTGCGCATGTCCCATAACACATACAATGATGTCACACAGTATGTTTAGATGTAAAGAAGGAAGGATAGAATATAGCCTAACGGCCCGTGTACACTTGCGATTTTTGCAGAGCGATTCGATCTCCGCGCGGGGATCGTCTCGCGACCATCGCCTGAGTTTTGAACATGCTTGAAAATTGGATGCAACTTCGCTGCGATTTTTATCGCCGCAACAACACGTACGATTTTATATTGCGGGATAGCAAAGTGTAAACGGGCCTTAATAGCGATGGAAATTTGCATTTACTATTTGTTAAATAGAGGATATTACATGGGCGCGCGGAGATACGAATTTTATCTTCGCGTGTTGAAAAGATCTCTCACGAGCGAGCGTAGCAACCATGTAATATTCTGTTTATCATATAATTACAATCGAGAAACCTCGAATGTGTTATTTTCACTAGTGGTCACTAGTCAAATAACATGTTATTCGGATTCTGAAGAGTAATTCACTCCATAGAATATATAATATGCTTGGAWTTTATTTGCTGAAATAAGATTTAACCTGGATGGTGCTTTTGATCTGCTGATTTGATCTTTTTAAATTATTAATATTACAAATATACTATGGAAAACAGTACAATTAGTTAATTATCCAAACTTTGACGTGAATTTAGCAAAACAAGGATGCCTAAGTGCGTATTTGCGTAACAGACAATGTGTTTGACGTCAGTCTCGTCCAGTCTTATTGTCCCCCGCCTTATAGGCCGCGATCCCATGATCCATGGCGCCAGAACAAAAAACGTTTAACGTCTGGCCCTGATAAGGGATATGGCAATTAGATTTTCTTATACACGGAGGACGGCTGAGTTTAAATCGAGTTAGTGCTTACCGACCCAGGGCACTGTACGCCTCCTTGGAGCCAAAAGATGTCGATCAGACATGTGATAATTATATTCACTGCAGACTATCAATATAACATAATTATATTTATCATATAATTATCTATGAAATGCCTATATTTCTGTCCATTTCSTAAAGCTGATATTTTAACTAGTGAAAATAACAAATTGGAGGTTTCTCAATATAGTGGAAGTAACAAAAAAGGTATATTTTATATACAATATGAATTTTATCTTCTCGTGTTGAAAATCTCTCACTCGTTTGCTATATGCTCACTCGTGAGAGATCTTTTCAACACTCGAAGATAAAATCCGTATCTCCGCGCGCCCTTGTAATATGCTCTCTATATAAGATGAAAGTACGCCTGGATTGGACGGGCCACAAGGCATTAAATCTCCTAGTCTGCGTAGCTGCACAGGAATCCCAAGAGGACCGCTATATACTGAGTTTATAATTTTCTCAAATACGAATGATCGCCATCTTTGATTTTGAACCAACAGTTTTCATCAAGAAGACATTTTTTAAGACCAGATTCTCTGTACGTAGGATTAGATGTTTGATAAAAGATTCGTCTACGTAGATAAATGGCATTTATTTTCAGAGCCGGCAGTTTCGGACCAATCGATATACACCATCAGGGAACTAAGGTGATCCAAATGACTTTAGCGGGTAAAAACTAAATAAATACAATAAATTAAATGTTACTATAGTAATAACACCATGACATCGTCCATACATCCTCCGTTTCTGTAACCGACAGCAGAAATGGAGATTGACTAAAGGGGTAACATTTCATCATATAATTATCCATGAAATACCTATATTTCTCCATTTCGTAAAATTGTTATTTTCGCTAGTGAGATTAGTTATTTTCACTAGTTATTAGTGAAAATAACACATTCAAGGTTTCTGTATATAGTACGTGGAAGTAAGAAAAAATGCATTTTACGACATAATTTGCTCACTCGTGAGAGATCTTTTCAACATTCGAAGATAAACTCCATATCTCCATGCGCCCATGTAATATCCTCTATTTTTCTTTCTTTCGAAAAGTTGCTATTTTTACTAGTCAAAATGACACATTCAAGGTTTATCTACATATTGGAAGTAAAATAAAGCCGGGTATTTATAAAGGATGGAAACGAATTGCGAATGGATATTCGAAGTCACCTCAATCTAAAACACGACCGCATTGAATGCTGRTGGACCATGTCCCTTTAAGATACTAATGAAGTATTTTAATAAAAGGCATAATAATAAGTTTTTTTATGCTTACATTACGATCTACTTATATTCTCAAACATAGACAAAAGTTTGTAAGTGATACGGGCTGACCATGCTTCTTCTCCTAGTCTATTTTAATAACTACGTCCTGCTTTGATATTGATAAACGTTGTCTCGAAAGGACGTTCAATATTTGTGAGTTGTCCATCTAATCAATGGCCTGTCAAAACCTTTATTTAGAAACCTCCAATAACGACAAATGAACTGGTCCACGGAGTTATTAAAATAGACTAGGAGAAGAAGCACAAATTGCAATTAGATTTTTGAGAGTTATTACTCTTATGAAAACCATGTCCACTTTATCAAAAATAAACCTGTTAGGGAAACTCAATGTCGAAATAAAATAGAAAATTTTAATTCAAAAAATCAGGAAAAAAATACCTCGTTGAAGTTATTCATTATTTATTAGATAGTTACGTTCTAGTATATTTTTTAGTTTCTAAATGATTWATTTATTTGTCTTCTTAATTTTTTAATTTGTTTATTATATGCGTGCTCGATCTACCATTTTGATGGCCAAAACGATCAAACAGCACTTCATTATTTTTGGCTTCGCGGTACTTCAGTTTATAAATAGTTACAATTCAAAATATACCATAACTTAATACGTGTACGAAAGCWCTCTTAGAGATTTTCCATTTCAAAAACATGTTACTTCGATTAGATATTGAAACCGGTTTTTTTTATTAACAATCAATTTTCCTCCACTGAGTTTGACGTCGAGAATCGATTTGTAAGAAGCAAACGGAAGTTGTTCTCTACAGGGATCAGGAAAATTAAACACACAAACTRCATATACATTATTTTCCCAGTAACCTTTCTTTTTATTCGTCCATTTTAAGGCATTAAGGCCCGTTTGACTTATGTTGTAGTTAAGAATAATGGGTTTGAATAAATTAGAGTGAAGTAACGATTTTTCTAAATATCTTGGTGTGCAGAACCGTCCACGAAAAAATCAGTATAAAAATAAGATAGAAGGAAAATAAAAGAACTGTTCTTAGCTTACCTAACAATTCCATTTGTTTCCTAGAGCTAATATTGAGTTTACTATGAGGTAATCTTTGATAGCAAATCTGTCAATCAAAATTGAAAAGACAGCAGTAAGCAAATAAAGCATTCGCTTGAGTTCTAGCGATCACTGTAACGAAGTCGCATTTTGTTCGCAATTCCAACTCCAACGATCAAAAAGARCCATATCACATTACATTATAGCTTCATTAACTAGAACTATAGCACCCAATAACTCTTTTTTCGCTGTCCTTTGTCCCTTCTCGCGTTATATCCGTAAAATGATCAGTCGCTTTCTTTTCATTTGCATTAGTAAAACAAACTTCCAGGTTTTTGGGAAAGTAATTATTTTCCCCGTCAAACACTGAAGGATGAATTCTTGTTCGATAGAAATTTCTCCCCAAAATAGTAAAACACGATGTTGTTTGGTCGGCTGGTAAATAAGGAAGAGCGTCTTGACGTCTTGTGCTTTCTGTTCTTCGACACGAAAAGCAGCTGATTGTCTCCTGAATATAGTTCCATATTACATGATTTCGGAATATGTAAATGGCGGGAAAAAGTGAACGCTTTAAYGTGAATATAAAGTAGATCATAAACCCAATTTCAAAACCAATCTTTTCCGCTGTAATAATWCCCCATAATGTAGCAACAAGGTAGGGTAAGGTGCAGACGAGAAACATTAGAAACAATATTATTGCAGTTTTTGAAGAGCGTTTATACGCATCAACGGCGAATTTCTCCGCGCTGTAATTTCTGGATACGTAGTTATTGTCAATACTCACCCTGCTCCTTCCACGAACCGCTTGAACAATACGATAAAATACAAAATACGAACCCATAAACGGTAGCACGAGGTTTATTATTCTAAAAAATATATCAAACGTTCTAATTTGTATCGAAGGGTCGTATATGTGCGGGAAGGTTTCGCATCTGGAAGGTCGAAGTGTCTTGACGAAACTCCATGGTGCGGAGGAAATAATACCTTGAATCCACGACCATAGAATTAACATTCGAGCTCTTCGATGAGTCATAAGTCTTCTTTGACCTTTAACTAGAGTTACAAATCGATCAAAAGCAATTCCACACATGGTTAATATAGCAATAATATGAAAAAGATCCTCGAAGCAGAAAAGAGCACTGCAAATCGTCAGTTGCCGATATAGTGGCGAGCCGAGCGCTAGGCTTAGCCAAAAGGGAACATCAAATAGCGACGACATAAGGTCAGCACAACATAGATTTACCACCAGAGTATTGGTAATAGTCCGCATTTTAAAATTCTTACAATAGGTAAATATTATGAAGAAGTTCCCCATCACAGCAATGGCGACTGCCACGAGCATTAAAGATGGCTTTCCTAAGTTTCTTTGGATGGCGATTTCTTCAGTGCTGTTAGTTCCAACACGCGATTCATTCATGCTACAGTTTTTCCATGTTCCTGTGATGTTAGCAAATATAAAATCTTGCTGGGAATTGTTGCTGTAATGGCACAGTCGAGTCATTATTATTATCCTCTGTGGTAGGGTCAAGCAATGAGTCAACCATGTTATGATCAGGCAACACGTCTCGAGCTCATGCCGAAATGAAGCCTCTAAATGTTTCCAACCGAGTTATATCCAAATAATATTTCCCATAACACGTCGTTGTTTTTTATCTAATTTGTGGTCATTTACAAAAGCGTTGTACAACGTCGTACAACTGCAGGCCAACGGCATAAGCCATCCATTCGATTTTGTAAATCACGCATGCGCATTCAAACACCAGCAGTTCTGGAAAGTGTCTCTTTTGAGAGCTCCKCAAAGAACATTTCAAAAATAATATATGCCAATAGACATTCAGTATTACAATTAACTTTGAACAAAAGAATTGATGCAGCTGGGCGGATTCTGTAGGCTTTTCAAATGAGTTAAAAATAAAACTCAAAACAAAGGAAAATTCTGCTTTCTCACCATGAAAAGAATATGATTCTAGGTAAACAAAAAGCATTCATACATCATATGTACCAGCATGGGTCCTTTAAATGACGATTTCTTTTTATTATCATATGAGGAAGTAGCTGAAAAGTAGCTTAAAGAGTGCTCAATGCACATATAGTGTAAGTAGGCAGATACATAAATTTATTATATATATAACGAGACTTTCATAGAGTAAATGGCATAAATAGAAATGTATATGCTATATTTTCACATGTGAAAAATAGCGATACGTCCAATCAGAAGCGCGTATAGCATTTTTCACATGTRAAAATATAACCAATCACAACACAGAAAAACCGGAATCAGCCAATCAGAAAGCGACGTTCACAACACTGAAATGGCTTCTCTCACMTAACCGCGCGTTGATGGCAAAATGGCTGAAGGTGAACTGTGTTTTTGATCAAAATTCCACATTTGAAGAGTTTATTAGTGGACAGGAAGGCAAACAAACTAAAGCAAAGTATGAAGACATGTTTTTTTTTAAAGAGAATTAAGTTTTTTGCTATCCAGAATGAACATGAAAGGTTATATTTTCACATRTGAAAAATGCTATACGCGCTTCTGATTGGACGTATCGCTATTTTTCACATGTGAAAATATAGCATATAGATTTCTATTTATGCCATTTACTCTATGAAAGTCTCGTTATATATATAATAAAATGCTAGAATTTAATTCTAGATTTTTCTAAACTTATTTCAATCAAGTTTGTGTCTACAAAAATTGAAAGCTAATCACAAAAAGCATCATGAGATCTTTTGTCGGCTTGACTCTTCATCAGAAKCACATSATACACTGACACGGGCCACTGTCAGCACGAGGCATGCATTTCCAAAKTGTTCAAAACTACATACGTACCCACATTACTTGAATCGGTCCAGAGTCAGTCAGTGAAGTGACAAACTTCATTCATTGAAAGGGATAATAAAGGATCGTTTTGTGCTTTATTTATTCGACTTTTTCAGCTGCCGTYTCTTGAAAATAAAAAATGAATCAGCGCCCACTGACTGGCGTATTTTATTCATYTATTCAGTTAACGGATGGGCTTTCTGCACCTCTTGGAAGACGGTATTACGTGAGCATCTGTGCTCACTGATTTTTGCGCAACCGCSGTSTTTTAATTTACTTTAATTATTAAAAGGCGGCAATCAAGATTTCGAATCCCAGTGCGAATTGAATCGAACAAACAAAACAAAGCCAAAAGAAAAGAACARAACAGAAAGGAAAAACCGAAAGAAAAGAAAAAGAGAAAGAAAAAAACGGGAAAAGAGAAAAAAAWTGAAACATTTTCCGAACAAATCATTTTGCTAAAATAATGAATACATTTGGTAACTATATTTACAGTAAATTTAAAAGAGTCAGTAATCAGGATCTCGATTAATTTATGCGCACCTACTGTCCTTTTAATAAAGCCRTTTGTTGATCTTTCCTTCTAACCCGATAGTGGGTCCCCTCCCCTCCCCTCAGATGCGACGCATGCAGGCCACAATACTTTATTGCCGTCCCAATCTCGAGCCCAGAGTCGTCACGGCTAATGTCAGCGGTCTAATGGATGGCAAAAATGCGGTCTCTGGGTACGAGATAGTATTGTTAAAAATATAGAAAACAAAAATAAGCCAAGCAAACATTTAAGAGTAACAGATAACTTTATTACAGTACAATTTCTATATTTACAGACAATTAACTTTCAAATGTTATTCACATTAGGCTTTATAGAGAAATATTTGATTTGATTGTTAAAAATCAGTACATTTTTCAAAAACCTATCAACCAAACAATAAAAATATTCTGATATTAGTGCTGGCATTGAAATGACAAAGAGTAACAGAGATTTGATTTGAAGAGTTTCTTTTGAAGGTGTTGGTGGTGAAACATTCCTAGAAACGTTTGGGATTCCTGTGTGCAAAATAAGGTCKCTGAGAACTGGTGCTTAAGATAAATACGTTTGTTTATTGTTCTCTTATGACCCTCCACTGATCTGTACTTATGACTCGCAAACACACAGGAAACACAAAGCGAGTTTAATAAATCCTTTTTTTCCAAAACTGAAAAAATAAGCGCTGGATACCCTGGCCAGTTCTAATTTGTTCAGACGAACATCACTCGAAAACAAAAGTAAAAAAAAAGAAAAATATAAATAAAATAAGGAATTAACAGACAGGTCCAAATGCGCAAAGCTGTGAAATTGTACAGAGCAAACTCTTAGCAAACTCGAAGAAAAATCTTAGAATACACCATTAACTAAACTGCACGACATAGACCCAAATAGGCACAATTTCACGGGTTTAGCGCGTTCATGCTTTCTATTTTCCAATCAAAGTTGATCTTCAGGAACTGTTGGTCTTAGACCGATAGGAATTCTGGGATGTCACTAAATTGTCAGTAAATGTTTCTGTCAAACCATGGATGATTTCAAACCACAAAGGCCGATGTGAGAGAATAAGTCCAGCGAAAAAAAAACAACTTACAATTCTACTAGAACATTTTCTGAAAATCCCCATAATTCATATCGGTCGCTAGACTATCAACTTAGATAGCAGCTGTAACTCCAGTAGAAAAAAAAAACTTTCTAGCTCAAAGGATACATTATTTGATTCAACCGAATTAGAAGTAAAAACGTTTCCCTTACCTCCCCTCCCTTCCTGAAATAATAAGCATTGAACATTAATCTGGCAATAAACACAACTTTCAGTTTTTGATAATAATTTTGTTAAAATAATCATTTATAGTCTCGATTTGGCGTCCCCTGCGTAGATTTCCACGTCGTCATTGTCGATTTCGGTTGCTGTCGAATTCTCCGTAGCATCTTCGTCGCCAGGTCTCTCAGGAGCGCGCGTGTAATCAGCAGGCTTGGTTCCCTTGACTACGTCTTTGGAAATTCGGACTGAAATGATATCTGAGCCTGGCGCCTCGAACATTGGTTCAAGAAGTAGTTTTTCCTTTAAACAAGATTTCATGAATTAGTACCATACTGAAAGAAAGACAAACAAATAAGGCAAGTCGATCTTTTATTATATAGCTCATTGAAAATACAAAATAATAATAATAATAACACTATAATAAATAATAAGTGCTAAATTGAATGCAGGCTCATATCCAGTCGTTACGGGKTTTTTTTGATACGCTCGAATGGGTTTATGGGAAGGAGATAAAACAAACCCTTTTCTTCGCCCTTCTTTTCGTGCATTGCGCGCCGCCGGAGAGAAGCGACTGGGTACGAGTCTGAATTGAATGCACATTATAGAAAGGAACTGGACATTCTTTGAATGCTTTGACCTAGAGTCTGATATATGAAGCGGGCTGGCCCGGAACCTTTCACGCTTCTAGAGGTAACAGGGCCTGACTCTAACGCTAAACAATATAAATATCCAATACGATGTGATGTACTTACCATGATCGCCCGCAATCCACGAGCACCGGTCTTCTTCTCGAGTGCTTGCTTAGCTATGAGCTGTAACGCTTCGTTTTCAAGAATCAAATCAATCTAAACATATGAAAAATCTATTATGAATAACCTATAGAGTAAAAACACTAAAACTGTGCAACATAAATACCACTAAATACTGCTAAATTATGCTAATTCTATTGTTTTCTATTGTTTGATTAACACTATTTTGTAGTAAATAGTGGAAATTGTTGCACACATTTAATGTTTGTACTCTATTTGGTGGATATTGTAAKTAGTGCTTGAAAACTCTTTTACAAACAACAAGAAYGTTCAACAAGGAAAAGTTCAGTTTTGGCTTTTGTAGGTCTTATGTTAATATGGAAGCCTTCTTCCAAGTCTACTCTTTTTTACTCKGGCTTCTTTGAGAGAGGCAGCTTGTGTTATCTCCATATAAAGCTGTTTTAAAATCACAATAGGCAGTGTGCAGCGACGCCATTTTGTGCAGCAAAGCATGATGGTAGTTGTATTCCTCACACTTATAGACCCTTAAAAGCTTTTTTGGCGCTTTCTTCGTAAAAACGGCAGAACAACATCTATTTTGACTTAGAAAGAGCAAAAATATTTCAAAAGGACTRTTTTGGCGGACATAAAAAAGTACAAAGACTACAACTACCATCATCCTTGGATCTTGTGACATATCTCGTTCTAAAGTCAAATGCTTATGCTCTTGACCAATTCCGCACATTGTAATTGTATGGCTAGCCTTGGAGAAACATGCACCCACGTAGGGGCTTTACTGTTTGCAATTGAATGTTATATTCGACACCGGGAAACAAAAACAGTCACASTTTTTCTAAAAGCCTACTGGATTGTGCCCCCAACCCGTGATTAAGTAAGCTATGAACCTGTTTCTGAGATTGACTTTACATCTGCTGTTTCTCAAAGGAAAAAGTTGTATATTCTAAGAAACACTGGGAAGAACGAAAAACCATTTAGGTGCAATGTGGTTTTTCCTAAAATGACATTTGACTAGTTGATAAAGACATAACTTAATT